CAAATTTTACTTGCCTTGAAAGTAAAAACTGGAGAAAGAAAGTTACAATTATAATAAATCCATTCAAACAATTGTCTCACAGTGAAGTAAATTCTGTCAGGGCTGAATAAAAAAAAAAAACATCGATAAAACAAACCCTATTGAGATGTACGATAGTTTAAAAATTAAGAAATAAAAAACAAAATTTACTTTACAAAATATAAAAAATATCTTACAACACATGGCTCTATACGACGATCGCTTACTTTCCAGAAAAGTAAACTTTACCTAAGTGGGTCCTTTATATAGATCTGCCAATTTCCTAAAATTTGAACGCACATTACTTTTTTCCTTTATTATGCATCGTACAATTCGTACAGATCGCGGCGCCGAGTCGTGATGAGACGCTACTGGCCCACGGCTTTTATCCGTCGTTGGACGAGTGCGGAGAGCCTCGTCACGATGCCGAGGAGGAGACAGGAGAAATGAATAAGAGAAAGAAAGAACGGGCAGCGGAGAGGGCTATTTGCATCGGAATGCAAGCCTCGGCTCTGTCTGCGTTACGCTCGCGCGCTAGTGTACACACACGCATCGTGTGCGTACGACACGTACGTAACGCGTAAAACTCCCAAGGAAGGAAGCCGCAAAATTTCCCTGAGTTCCTCGCATGAAACCACTCTCCCAAAGGCGCCGGTAAATTACCGCAAGTTTTTCCGAAAGAACGAAAAGATTAAATTAGTAAAGATCTACGTGCATTAAAAAAACAGAGATTACCCTCACTTAATTATTTGCGTTCAGTGACGTAGCGAGAAAAATGTTTCGGGAGGGGGAGGCTGTAGAAATTAGTTTTTCTTTTTCAATGTTCCTTTTTGTACTAGTGACGCATTTGATAAGCATAAACAAAAAAGGTTCCGTTTAAAACGTTAAATAAAAATATAATTAATTTATTACGAAATTACAAAATTACAAATTACAAAATTATACTTTTAAGTCTAAATATCTCAGAAACTATAAGAGTCCGCCGCCTAGTTGTTAAGGCAAAGTTACTCAGAATCATGACCTTGACAACATATGTCAAGGTCAAGGTCATCGGTGAGGTGTCCCCTAATCTAAATAATTACCAAAAATGGTTGTACCATTTAAACTTATAATTATACAATGGTCCGCAGCTTCTACCACATTATATTATAGTTTATATTTCAAGTATATAATTTTCTCCGTGCATAGAAATTCTGTTTAGCCTCATTAAAATGCCATTCTAGTTGAGTATTTTTATTAATTTAACCAGAACTTTATTCTCAGTATACAACGTAAATTTCATAACAACATCCTAAAATTGTAACAATTTTATGTAATGCAATGTGAAAAATTCCAGTTATTTATAAAAATGTTCTTTAAATCGAATAGCAATAGTTATTATAACAGAAATGCATTTTATAAATTATTAATTATAGAACTGAAAAAGAAAATCTGCAGTTTTGATCTATGAGTTTTAATATTTAAGAGAAAAAAAAATCTGCAATGCTATCGGAATTGTATATCTTTGATGGGAATGTTGCTCGGAATATTTCAAGAATTTTAAGAATGTGTAAGAACCTACAAATTATCTCTTAGCAGCGATCTGGGTTTGGATATCTTATTTCTCACGCATACATACGCACGCGAGGATTATACCGCGTTGCTTGTTAATTTGAGACGCTAAAGGATGTATCCGAGGATACACGCGCTATACCATTCCCGCGTAAACATGTTTACCCCAATAAACATGTTGCGCTCGAAACACGGTAGATATATATTTAATACTAGAAACTCTCAATGAATTAGTTAAGGGAATCAATGACGTAAGTAATAAATTATTGAGTATTGTATTGTATACGATCAGTGGTCCCAAATTGCTCTGTTTATTATATATACGTGTGTACATCATATATAAGTATATAAAATTTTGGTATATCTTTTGAACTGAGGGTGAGCAAACGAAAATACCAACTGAGCATTCGTGAGAAAACGATGAGCAAACGAATGCAAGAAGAAAAAAAATCGATTTTTTAATATTGGGGGGCTAGCTTCACACGGGTCTGCGTTTTTGTGTTTATATAAAAATGTTGAATGCGGAAGTGAGCAAAATTTCATCACACTCGAACATTTTGAGAAAGCTCTTAAAATAGGTATCTAAATTTGTATCATATTGTTTAAAATAGGATTCTAATTTCAACATTTCTATCAACGTAAATCATTATTTTTTAATCTCTTGATAAAAACTTTATTGACACTCTTATTCTTAATTCTTTTTTTATATATATAGGTCCTTTTTTAAATTAGTTTTTAAATTACAAGCTTCTTCCCTTTTCTTTTGGTATTATCGTCATAGATTGAGATTAATTTGTATTAATTTTTTAAATTAAGTCTGAACCTGCCAGTGAGATTTGATTTAGACATCGAATATAGTGTTCTCAACTTCGATTTCTCTTCATTGTTATTAACAATAAGTATTCTCGCTTGAAAAGGAAGTATTCTCTCGAAGAAAAAGAGCTCGTGAGTAGTAATAAGTTGTCTGCTTGTCAGCTTGTTTTTCTTACGATGTATTCAACTACTATTTCCTATTTTCCTACAAAAGAGATTCCGCAAATTTCCTAGTCTATATTTTTGCTCACTTTCTTATTTACGCATTTCTTCTTTTATATCACAATAAAAAAAAAACCACTCATTTTATTTCAATACAAAAAACCTTGTTCAGTTTTCGAATTCATTTAAACCTTCTATCTACGCAGATATTTAACATCTATAGACAACATCAAGAGAGTTTGTCCTTTTTTTTCAATTTTTAATTTCAGGCACTCTCGCCTTTTATTATTTCAACTAATACACAATCTAAGCATAAAAAGAAAAATGTAGGTATTTCTTGTGCAATCGTCTAAAATATCCGCCTTCTTCTCGAAATCATGTGAATTTCACGCCACGGCGCGGTGCGAGCAAGACAGCAGCTGTCGACGACGAGAGGGGGGAGGGGGGGGGGGGGGAGGACTTTTGGACGCAAGGGGATCCCGAAACTAGAATCGCGCGGCCCCAGCAGCCGCATAGGCAATCTCTTGAAAATCGACGATGACATCATGGCCGCAGTATTTCGCCCGAAATAAATATACCGTACATCGACATTCCTTCCCGCCTGCCCGGAATCCGCGTCGATACCGCGCCACGCCGCCGCCGCGCCGCCGCCGCCGATAAATATTATTATCGTATCTTTCGTTTGTTCTCAGATTAAAGCCGGTATTCCCTCCTTCCTTTCTCTCCCCCCCCCCCCCCCCCCCACTTTCTCTCTCTCTCCCTCTTACCTGGTGCACATTCCATCAAAAATTCCATCAAATAATACAGCCGCGCGTGACGTAAGACATTCCGGCGCGGGTCCAGACTGGCGTCAACGACGAAATACCAAAGTACCTCTCTCCGCTCGCGAGCATTCGGAATTAGCTACCTGCAATTCTTTTAACTGTGCATCATCAAAGAAATCTCTATCGTCGCAGCAACGCGATCATAGGTATAATAAACGTATATATTATATAAGAAAACGTATATATGTTATATTAGTTACGTTGTTACGTTAACGGTCTTGAATATTGTTTATTTACGTGCCTGAAAGAAAACGTTCGTCCGCTTCACATATACTAGCTATTGCGAGGAATATTACTAAGGCTACGGTAATCCAATTGATACTTGCGCGTAAAGCAAGCGATCCGGCCGAGGTAATATTTTTCGCAATAAGAATTATTATTTTCAGATTTCAATATAGTTATTTCAACATCGATATAAGATGCCAAAAGGGCATTAATTAATTATTAAGTTGTTAAACAATTTAATTCGTGATAGTAGGTTATTAGAGTTGCGTTTCAAGATCAAAATCTATAAAAAAAACACTATTCCCTTTACTTGCATCTTCACCGGCAAAGATCGTTAAAAAATTTTTAACATCCTCCTTTCCTCAACTTTCAATAAACCCCCATTAAATCTGGACTTCCCACCATCGAAAATCAAAGTGGGAATTGGTCAAAAATTTAGTGCTTCAATAATATTTTGAAATTTTTTTGTATTTTGGATGAGTTGGAAACCGTCAAGTATTTTGTAAAGAGAGCAATTTGACGTATAGCAATGTAAATTACTTATTATTGTAATATTACAACAAACACTTGCATTTAATTGTTAAGTCGATAATATTTCAAAACTATACGTATACATGCGTGATGTACGGATATTGAAAAGTCAACAACTTTCCAGAACATTTTACAAAATATATAATATGGCAAAAATGCAAGGGTTTCACAAAATTCTTTTTTTAATTAAAAATAAGTATTTTGCATTTCTAATATTTTTTCCGTAGTAATAGGCAGTAGAAAGTTTTTACTGATATAGCTCGTTTACCTTAAACATAATAAATAATACTTAATAAATTCAGTTTTTGTTAGGTATATACCCTACACACAAAATGCATAATTTTTTGATAAAAATATGGAAAATGAGAAACGATATTAAAAACTATGATAAAATGAAAACATAAAAAAACATCAGTCCTACTTTCGTTATACGATATACTTTCAGGAATTCTCGGTAATCGTGAAGTGCGAATCACGTGATTACGAGAAAAATCACAATTTTCGAATAGCATCGCGTTTAATCTAATGTGTATGTAATATGCGCATCCTATGGGGATAAGTATATATATATACAGGGGAACACCGAACGCGGTTAATCGCGTGCTGATCTATGCCGTCGTACTCATGATATGGAGGGTACGCCGAATGACCGGAAGTAACATGATTTCTCACGGACTGACTTCCTGCCGCCCTCGCCGACCCTCGTTGAAATTCCACCAGTTTCTCCCCCTCGCTACTTCACGTCCGTTTTAATCTCGATAGAGCGAGGTTCATCGACACGGCGGGATCGAGGGGAATTGGAATTAACGGATCAATTCAGCTTTTGCGAATGGTAATTTAAGGGAAAATTTATGATCAATTGTTTTCTGTACTTACCTCGAGTACGTCATGTGCAGTCTGCATGTAGTCGCGAAGCATGGCTTCTTGAATAGCTCGCCATTCTTGCCTTGGATCTTCCAGTTGGGTTGTTTCTGCGAATATCAGATCCAATGACACGTTTAAAACAAAGAGACTCAATAAGTCTTATTAATCAATATTTATGACACTCTTAATAAAAATTTCTTAGGATAAATGGAATATTGTGGCTACCACCTTTAATATTATTTCAAGGAATCTATATAAGCGTATAATAAATATTATATTATATTGTGTTAATATTATATAAATAAATTAATAACATTAATTAATATAGGTAGTGATTATATTATATAGTATCTAAAATTTAATTTTTTTTTTAAAGCAATATAACATTTTTAATCAAATTAATTTTCAAAATAACGTAATAATAAAGAAACGCGACTCGATACAAAAAAAGTAGTACTTTTATTTATTTTTAAACATTCGATATTTCTGCAAACTTTTTTTATCTTTTTCAACCCAATCAGACAAAAAAACGTACGCATAAATTCACGCACGTTACGACACAGATATGTGACATAAAATTACAAAATAAAATCACTTCTCGTACGGTATGTATGCGACCGTTCTTTCTGCAGTTTCTCGATCAGATAGCAAAAGCAGAATAAAAACTCACGATTGACATGATTGATGTAGTAGGCGCCTACGTGTTTGTCGTAGGCCTCCTCCCAGCCGAGGGGAAGTTCATTCCCGATACAATCCGCGAAAGTCTGTGGTTTAGTAAACCTATAACACACAAAAAAAAAAAGAATTAAAATATCATATCATATCGTAATATTATGATCACAATATCGAAAAGAAAAATAGCTGGAAGAATCAAACATTTCTCTTATGTTCAGTTGATTAAAAATAGAAAACTGATAACTTTTGTGATCTGTTTTATTGGACAATAACTGTCTAATGACTGAGCGAAAAAAAATCTGTTTAAAGTTAAATATATATAGATTAAAAAGATATTGGAAAAAAATATATAAATTTGGAGAGAGAGAACAAATTTATATTCTTTTTTCCAATATCTTTTTGTAATAAAACAACCATAATAAAAAAACCAACACTTATATTGTCCAGTATAGCTACAAGAATATATACGAAGTTTCGCAAAATTGATAAATCACTTCGATTACACGGTGACTTCTTCGAATTTATGGATGAAGTCCATAAATACACTTACGAACTTACACTCATATCAAATCAATCGATAATCTCGGGCAAAAAAGTTCGTCTAACCGAACTCCCGACTTATATCACACTTGATTAAATAAATACGATAAAAAAAGTGATGCTCGAGTGGATATCATACCGTATCAATTGTTTGTTTGTATTTATATGTTGTTATCTTTACGTTATAGGGTTTACTAAAATGATATAAGCAGCGATAACTTCAAAGTGCATTACGCAATATTTTTATTCTGTCGAGAAACTTTCACATTATTATTTTGGAATTTTTAGGGAAAGGAGGTTTAAGAAAAATGTACAGATTTAATGTTCCTCGAGGGAGAGTTAATGACAAGGAAGAATATGTTAGGATAAAAACAGAAGAGAGATTTTTAAATATATATTGAATACTTAGGGCAATTATGGCTGTGAAAATAGTACAAAATATTGTTGAAGTTATAGAATAGGATAAGAAGAGGTTATTTTATTTCTGGAATTATGTATTACGTCAACCCCTATAAAGATAGCCCCCATTATTAAAAAAAATAATTCTTTTAAAGAGTTCTGGATAGATTTCGAGAGTTTCTGGATAGGCTTAAGAAATAGTTCCGTTTAAGAAAGTAAAAAAAAAAACGTCATTGAAAAACCCGAAATTGACACCTAAAGAAACAGCCATAACTTTGAAAGTATCATTTTTTACACAATTTTCTCATTATAAGATATTTTATAGAACTCTGTGGGGGAGGGGGGGGGGG